CCTCCGAAGGAGCCGGAGGTGGAGAAAAGGGAGGAGGGCACGAGCGAGGCGAAGCCAGAGGCTGGGCGCGCCCGCCGAGAGGAGCCCGAAGAAGAGGACGACGACGAAGACGACCTCAAGGCCGTGGCCACCTCGCTAGACGGCCGCTTTCTGAAGTTCGACATCGAGCTAGGCCGAGGCTCCTTCAAGACCGTCTACAAGGGGCTGGACACGGAGACCTGGGTGGAGGTCGCCTGGTGCGAACTGCAGGTGAGGGCTGCACCCTTGTTGCTGCGCCCGCTCACGGGCCATTGGGAGCTTTAGGGCTGTGTTAGTGGTGCCTCGGGCTCTGGGGATGGATGGCCACTGGGGCCATTCTGGGGCTGTCGCTGGTGGGATTTGTGAGCAGCGTCCAGAGTGGTGGCAGGCCAGGTGCCCAGGTGAGTGTGTGGTGGGTTCTCAGCATGCCGGCTAAAGTGAGATCCTGCCGGAGAGTGTGTCCACCCGGCTGCTGTCCTTTGTACTCTCAGTCCTGGACGTGGTTGTCCAAGGTGGCCTGAGGGATTGTGCCCCTACAGCATGAGCCTGGAGTCTGGGGACCAGACAGTTTCAACGTCCTTTGGGAGTTCTGAGCCGTGCTCAAATTGGCATCTTTTCGTGTTCTGCAAGGTGTGTATGCCCTATCCTGCAGGGGGCTTCTTCGGGGAATTTTTCGTGGTGGGGCCTGGGAGACTGGGCAGGCTTCTTGATGCCTTACGGTCCTGTTAACTAAATGTATGTGTGAGTGGTCTTAGAGTGGACTCAGCACTATACAGTGGGTGGTGTGTGCGTGTGCGTGTGCATGTGCGCAAGTGTGTGATGCAAAAGCTCTGGCCATGCATTTTTCATAACCTTGCCCTCGTGTTGGCTGTGTCAGCTGCAGCACTAGAAGATTATATAAACGGTAACCCGAGCTGTTGGGCCAGCTTCTGGAGCCAGGGCAGCACACGTTACAGTGGGTGTTGTGTGAGCCCTCCCTTGTTGGACACAGATGGCCTTCTTGTGAGAGGGCCAGGTTGTGGAGTTGTAAACCTACCCGGGGCCCTGTAAAGTTAGCTGGACCTCTCAGGCCTGAGAGGGGCTTGGCAAATCATACATATCAGCCTTCAGGGCTCTGAGCACACTACTGTGGCTTGCCTTTTGGTGGAGACATGGGATTCAGGATCTGTGTCTTCCGGCTCTACAGTGGGGGTCTGTGTGTTCACCTGCAAATGTGTGTGCTTCCACGCTGGGCTAATGCAGTGGGCGTCAACCTGTTGTGAACTCTTCTCTCCAGACCAAGAGCTCCAAAGACTACCCTGCACAGAGCCCCTGTGGCCCTGTCATGGGAACACAGTCTTTCGATAATGTGGGTCAGTAGATCTCACCTACGCTGGTGGGATTAGGAGGATAGGAAAAGCGCTCCCTCCTTGTAGGTCAGGACCTGCGGAATGGTAGCCCTGGTGGTACGGAATAGGCAGGTAGGTGGGGCCGGGGCTGTGTGGTGGGGACAGTGTGGGGGTGAGCTGGGCATCACTGCTGCATCAGAGAGCAGAGAGGACCAGAAGAGGAAAGGATGATTCTTTTTTTTCTTTTTTCCATCGCCTTTTTGGTAACTTAAAAAAAAATTACTTCTTTATTCTTCTTAACCATTGTAGTAAAGCTTTATTTTTTAAAATTTGAAAAATCTAGCCACTTACACATTGTGGTTAGTTGCTTTTGAGTGGATTCAAACTTATATACCATTAACAAACTACTCGCTAGCATAACATTCTGGTCATTCTCAGATAGTCTTTTGATATAGTATCTAGTCTTTTAATATGCACATGGATATTCATGTTTCACTTATGTCATCTTATTTAATGCATAAGTACTTGCATGGATATTCGTTTATTTTGTATTTAACATTTGTATCCATGGGCAATGTTGGTCTTTCCCATTATCCACTCTTGTCAAAGTGACCCGCGTTTGGGCTTTGGCGGTGCTTCTGCGGCTGAGAGAACTGAGCTGGGGCGCTGCAGCAGGCTGGGTCAGTAGCCCGAGCCCTGCTGAGTGTGGTGAAACACTGCAGGAGCATGTGACTGACTCGGTTGCTAATTCCCATTCCCTTTAAGGAAAGGCAAGCGGTTCTGCTTGGGGAATGTAGAGCTGCGTATGGAGTAGTCTGGCCTGTGTACAAGGAAGGGCCTTTAGTTCCCTGGCTCTACGTGGGAGTGGGAAGGCTGAGGTGGCTTCCAGTCTACCTGCAAAGCTGTTTCTAGGGACCCTAAACCAGCCTGGAGCCAGACCCTGCTCCTCCCCCAACAAGAGAGTGCAGGTCAACAAGCAGAATTTAAGCCAGCTTTTTTTTTTCCTGCCTGGGTCAGTCTGAGAGGGCTTTTAATAAGAGTGGAGCTAGGTCAGCTTGAAAGAGACCTTTCCCAAGCACCCACTGACTGCCTGGGTGGGTTCAGCGACTCCTGTTCTCTTCCTCACTGAATCCTGCTCACGAGCCACAATGGCATTTCTATGCCCATGTGAGTGTTGAGGTTAGTGAAAGTTGGAGCAACCTCCAAAGATCACATAGCAAGGAGACAGCAGAGTGGGGACAGGCATGAATACAGAAGGAGAGGGGGCCCAGGCAGGCAGGCTCCACCTGGGATGGCTTTTCATGTTGGGGTGACTAGTGAGTTAAAGTCAGTGAATAGGGCCCTCCTGGCCATCATCCCATAGGTGATGTTTTCTAATTTTAGACTAAATGCTTGTGGCTACGAGCCCACTCCGGAGGATTAAGATAGGCTAAGTTCTGCCCTTAGTAGAGAGTGTGAACCAAACCATACCTTTTTTGTCCTTGGCTCCACACTCACTGTCTTCTAGTCAATGCCCACTCTTTGTGACAGTTTAGGTTAGGGTGGAACTGCTCCTGTGAGTTTTGGGGACTGTAAACCTTTAGGGGAGTAGAAAGCCTCCTCTTTCTATTGAGGAGTGGTTTTCGAACTGCTCACCTTGACAATCGATTGCACCCCAATGTGTATCCACTATGCTACCCGGCATTGTTTCCTTGGAGTTATCTTTAAACTCTACTAGAACGTGTGACCCGAGACACACCTTTGTTTTCTCTAGGGGTGTGGCCTGTTAAAAGACAGCAATACCTCCACCCAAATCATTCCTCTTTGTATAAGAGTCACCTGGGACACAAAGAGAAATCACAGGACCATTTGGAAGTGCAAGATCTCTGTCGGAAGTGATAGAGGCTGCCAAGACCATAGGCACCAGAGATTGTGGCATGCACATTGAGACTCAGAGCAACAGTGCTGAGACTAAGGGGTCTTTTCCTTATCTGACCCAAGACTAGGGACCACTGTGAGACAGAGGAACAGGTGGACTGGCTTCCTGGCCCATGGATGCATAGGACAAGGGACCATGTGGCTCAGAGACTTAGGACTGCTAAGGAAAGAGACTTGGCTGCAAGCTGAGAAGCAGTGTTGCTGTGGATCAATGCCTGTTGATGCTGACGTTGACAACCTATTTATTTCTCTAATAAATCCCCTTAATTGTGAAATTTTTCTGTGAGTTCTCTGTGGCCACTGCAACTAATTATCGAACTCAGTATAGAAATAGAGTGCCGTGGGAATGCTTGGTGTCACAATAGGTAAAGAAGGATGGGACCTGGAGGCACATCTGACTGTAGTTTCGTGGCAACACGGAAGCCGGAAGAGGTCGCATATGTCCACCTGTGTTGCCATTCACTGCAGCTGGTACCCAGTACGATGCTGGATGTGCAATTGTGACTCTTAAGGGCTGTTAGAGGAATTCTGGGGGCTGGTTTTAAGCTGGGTGATCCAGGCAGTAGAGTGCTTGTGCGTGAATGGGAAAGAGTGCATGGAGCAGAAGGAGACTGTGAGGAGACATGTCGCTATACCAGGTGGAGGGTGCCTTTAATAGTGAGGAATAGCCTTGAGTCTTAGAGTGTGATTTGGGGAAGGGCACAAGAAGGAGGGCTCCCCAGGCATGCTCGCTGTGTGTCTGGAGAGGCTGGTGTTAGTCAGCAGTGTAGAAATGTTCATTCTTTACCCCAACATCAGCAGCTCTTTTGAAAGTCAGTTTTTATACACAGGAGGATGAGGAAGCTGGTGAATGAAGCTCCTATCATAGGGTACCTCTTCTGGCTCACATTCTGCCCTGTTTTTTTCCCCGACATCCAGAGGGCTTTAGCTGGCAGCTTTAGAATTCTCTGCAAACCTGCCCTCCAAAGCCTTTTGACCTAGGTGGGACTCTGCTTCCTTCTCCTGACTTGGGGCTGAGACTTTGATCATGTACTGGGTCCCCGAGTGACTGATCAGCACCTCATATGAAGGTTATTATCCTTAAGGTTCCCTGACAAGGAGAAAAAACATCTCATTCTGAGTCTAGTGTTTGGCTTAGAGGACATGATATTCCTATGATTTCTATTTTTCTTTGATAAATTTGTGTTGAAAGGACTTTAAAGGAAGAGTTGTATTTGTTCTCATACATTGAAGGGTTGTGAAAGACTTTACCAGTGCGTTCTCACTTGGAAAAAAATTGAATTATTTTGGGAGAAGGTAATTTTCTTTTTGTTTCTGTATTTTATTTATTTTGTGGTTGAGAATATACATAGCAAAACACACACCAATTTAACACTTTCTACCTGTACAGTTCAGTGGCATTGATTACATTCTTCAAGTTATGTAACCACTACTGAGTTGTTTTTACCCCTTTAACATAAACTCACCACCCCTTAAGTTTCCTGTCTTATCTTTTGAGTTGCGATTGTCAATTGGATCACATATAGATAGTTAAGAACGCATAAGCTCAAGGTAGACCTTTTTTTTTTTAACTAGTTGTGTTAAACCATTATTCAGTTTTAAGATGACTTTAGGAAATAGTTTAGGTTTAATAATTAAATATATTCTCAGGACAATAGTTTCGGGGGTTCATCCACCCTCTCTGACTCTAGAAAGTCTGGAGTCGATGAGAATGAGAAATTCTGTTCTCAGTTTCCTTTCTTTTTCTTTTTTTTTCAGTTTCCCCTCTTTCAATCAGGATTCTGTAATGGAATCTTTGATCTTCTGGTTCCGTCCAGGTCTTCTGGTCTCCTGGCAAAAAAGGGCAGTATTCATAGAGAGAGTTAGGCACACATCCCATATTCTCCTATTCCTGATGCATCTTGTTGCTCCAGGTGAATAGAGAGCAGTGGTGTCTGGGGTGGTTGCTCACAAGCTCTCAGATCCCAGACACTAACTACACAATGA